AGTGTGAGAAATGTTAACAAAGGTGAGCTGCCATAAAAACAACCCGGAGGTAAAAGTTTGTGAACTTAGCAGCTGGAAGGAAAGAGACGTAAACCAAGAAGCTGTCATGATCCTCGCTGACCTCGTTAGAGAAACGTTTGGTGTGTGTGAACGTATCCTGATGAAAACACTTATCATACTTAACTATTTGTCCATGATTTGTGTGTGTGTCTGTGTGTGTGTCTGTGTGTGTCTGTCAGTGTGTGTGTGTGTCTGTCTGTGTGGGAGATGGCTGCACTTTGTCAAAGTGAGAAGACACAAGTTGAACAAATCCTCTGCAGCTGTGCAGCCTGTTAAACATCTGGAGGAAATAAAATCATCACATTTAAAACTCAACAATTAAAAACAAAACAAGTTGTGGAAACGTCCTATTTGGCAAAAATGTGTCAGTGACAAATGACAGTTGTTGAACTTTCCTCTCATATGGAAACGTTCACAGAGGTTTAGCTTGGATCAGAAAACCTAAACGCAGCTTCACAGATGATTATTGATCTGAGCTGAAAACAGTTTCTTCTCCTGTTACGTCAAAGTGACTTATGAGGAATTTTTCATAGTAATTTATAATTGAGAGAAGAAAAAAAAGGAGCTGCGGAGAAAAATGTGGAATCTGTGTGTGTGTTTGATTGACAGCCGAGCGGGAAGAGGGAGGAGACACAGAACCAATCAGAATCTAAACCGACTGAAAACATTCAAAGATGAGTTCATTGATCTGTCGCTCGTTCAAACGCTGGTCGGACAAATGAAGAGTGAATCTGTGTCTGACAGAAAAATGACTAATAAAATCTCTGGTCGAGAAATGTTTCATTAAGATGTTAAAGTTACACCGTCAACCGTAAATGTGCCGATGACGTCATTTACAGTCAGAGTCGAGGTCCCGCCCATACACACTCTCAACCAATCCTGAGTCAGTGTCAGCTGTCAATCATGACGTCTCAGAAACACTTGAACAAACATCAGTGAGACAGAAAAACCTGAAACGACAGAAACATCTTTACAAACTTTTGTTTAATGTCTTCTTTTCTTATTTTGGTCCATGTCCCATCTGCTAACATGGAGGAGGAGGTTAATGAACTACACTGCAGCCAGACACCAGGGGGAGATAGAGATGACTTGGCCTCACTTTTGGGAGCCGTCATGTCCGTCCATCCATCTATACATCTATCCATATATCCATGTACTTCAAACAAAACATATATACGCTGAAGTACAGATACATGATGTACTAGAGTAGATGTACTGAGTTCCATGTCCCCACTGTGGATCATCCTCGGGGACATTGAACCGTGAAGACAGAGCTGTTAGTTGCTGTGTGGTTTGAGGAGCAGATGTGGGATCTGAACACATCATGTCATATTTGGACTCACGATGTTTGACCTCATGTCGTTGGTTGTAAAGAACAAACACACATGACCACATCAGCGTGTGGTCATAACGAGGACCAGGGCGTTAGCCTGCCGTTCCTCCGCTCTCGTGCAGGAGGCAGATGTTAGCTCGGAGGCCGTGGCGTGCTCGTTTCTGCACCCTGGGTGGGGTGTGGGGGGGTGGTTAGGAACCCCCTCCCACTCAGAGTGACTCAGGCATGATGGCGTGAACTTGAATGACATCACAGTGACCAGCCAATCACAACACACAGTGGCTGTTTTCCCAAAACGTCCCCTGGCCAAGTCTTACAGTTTGTTGTCCAATCAGAGTTAAGCATCAGATGTTTGTTTGAACGTCCAGATCCACTTTGACCACGAGCGTTTTGGGAAACACAGCGGATCACATGACGCTGCAAGCAGGGTGTCAATCAGCCAATCAGCTTTTTGCTTTACCTGTCAGTCCTCCTCTCCTGCTATTGGCTGGAAGAGGTTTCTGTACATCAGACACAGAGGTAGATACATACATGAGAGGATATTACCCAGAGTTCCACACTCACACACCTGAAGAATCACAGGAAATCAAATCAAATGGTCAGACTGAACTTTGATCATTGGTCCGAGGAACCTTTGATCAAACCTTTGATCTGAAACAAACAAGGTGTGAACGGTTCCTGGTTCGTTTACTTGATGCTGTTCCAGGTTCCACATCCATTCACTAGAGATCATTCACTGTCCGAGGCGTCATTTCATTTTCAATGTCACAGCTTGAGTTTAAAAGAATTATTATGATTTACTCCTGAAAATGTTCCAACAAAAATCTGAAGGATAAATTTATTGTAAATCCAGAGGCCGTTAAAGTTTGAGGACAGAAAAGCTTTGAGTGTGCGTGTGAGGAGGATCATCACAGTGTGAGGTCACGTGACACAGAGTGAAATCTACTGTTAAACACAGACTCACTGAGGAATGTGTGTTTACAGAAACAATAAAATGAGGAGCCTCAGAGTTTCTGAGGGACGAGCTGTGAAGGAGGTCAGATCTCCTGCTGTGGACAAACACTCGGCTGCAAATCAACGTTCATGCTTTTCTTTTCTCTTCTTCTCACATTTAACTTTTTATGTGTAACACGTGTGTGTGTGTGTCTCACCTGTGTTACTGTGTCGCTTGGTGAACGGGTTGAGCGTAGCTTTAGCTTTGGACGTCCAGTTAGCGGTGCTGGAGCCGAACGAGCTGGACGACAGAGACATGCCCAGGTTTTCTGAGCTCACCTTCTTGGTGTTGTTGGTGGCCGTCTTACTCCAGTCTGCAAAACACACAACAATGAGTCAACACGTCCCGATCCATCGTTCCACAGAGTCGCCATCGAACAGAACCGACATCAGAGACACAGACACAAGTCCAGACAGAACCAGAGTCTCATAACATAATGTGTGTGAGCTGGTGCACGTCGGCCGTGAAAACACGTGAAAACATGAGTAAACATGAAGTGTGTGTTTCCTTCCAGGTTTAAACGAAGGCTAAATATTTCAGGAACAGACTCATCCCCTGTTTTAAAGATGAAGCGGCTGCAGTACAGACGAGAGCAGACGGTCTAAACCTGCAGGACTTCCTGGTCCACCTTATTTTATCTTTTTTTTATTAGCTGCAAAGCCGAAGTGACTTAGCTTTTATATTTTAATAAAACGTCTGCTGCTGTGGGAAACTGGTGAAAGTCCAGCAGACAGATTTGACAGGACTCCTGTGAGAACAGGCCGAGCTGTGGACGGACGGATGGACGGACAGATACCTGAGTTGTCCGACAGCTTGAATCGACCGCAGCACATGTATCTCCTCCACTGCTTCTGCACGTTTTCTTTCAGGGCGCAGTGGAAGATGAAGATGAACAGACCTGGACAGAGACAGACAGCTTGAGTCACAGTGATGATGACCAGAGTTCATCCACCGCTCTGTTCTCCGCCAAATCACAGGATACGACACAAACTGAGAGCAGCTGACATCACTTTGTTAAGACCAAAACAACACAACTACAGGAGTCACACAACGGAAACACAATCACATCAGGAGTGAGCGACAACAGATGTTGACACTGAATCAAGCAGATTTACTGACAGATGCTGTGTGACGACAGGAGCTCTCGTGGTGTCACACCTCAAACCAACGTTGAACCTGCTGCATTAGTGCCTGTGTGTGTGTGTGTGTGTGTGTGTGTGTGTGCGTGTGTGTGTGTGTGTGTGTCTTACTGGGATCAACATTTACAATCAGTTGTTTATTTCATCTTGATCAACACCATGTGTAGGGAATAGATGTTACAGTGTCAGGTTTATGTCATATTGAAGGTATGTTCCGTGTGAGTGCCTTCGAAAACGTTCAGCAGGAGGAGAAGAACAAAAGAATCTTCAGAAATCTTTCCTGGTTCTGATGTCACTGACGTTACAGCAGCGTCGTCGATTAGGTCATCAGGAGCCGCTGGACTTAACGAAGTCTCTTCATGATGTCGCCACATACAGGCAGGACCGTGTTGGTCTGAATCTTTCACTTTTAAATGATGTTTAATTAGGTTTTAAAACCCACAGATATTCAAGTTGTTGAAATAGATTTTATGCCTCTGGGGCAAAAATATGCAGTTGTCAATGACGAGACACCGGCAGAGACTCAAACTGTCGGTGGTCAGCTCCACAGATCAGATGTCCGTACAGGTGTCAGGTGTTTTTACACTTTATTCTCACGTACACAAAAGGCCGTAAACGCTGTGAGTATCGTACCTTGCAGGGAGTTGAAGATGGCGAAGAGGTACATGAAGGCCAGGCTCACGGGTCCCCAGGCGAACAGAGCGAAGCCCCACGTCATCCCCAGCAGGAAGGAGAGGCTGATGACGCTCCGCAGGTTTCGCAGAACCTGGATCACCACAGAACAAACACGTGATGTTAGAGAGCTCCTCGTTTGTAATACTTGTTTCAGTCTGTTTTATTTTAGTGTTTCTTCTCGGAGCCTGAACACACACCTCCTCTCGCAGCGAGCGGTTGCTGCGTTTGCCGTTACGGCCGCAGATCTGCAGCATCACCACGATGAACATGGCCACGTTCAGAAGAAACACCAAACAGAAGTAACCAACGCAGGTGGTGTAGAAGACGGTGGGACTCTGGATCCAACAGCTGAGGGGATCACACACACACACACACACACA